GGTAGACTCTAGATCAAGGTACCGTACCTACTTAACATGATAAATCCCTCACTTTAATAGGAGGCCGGGGACTTACGAGCCAGTACTCGAATGACCGTTAAGGCTTATAAAGGCTTCTAAGATCTACTAAGACGAGGCGTATTATATACTATATGACGTTCCATTAATAGGCCTCCGAGGACGGTAATACGAAGGGAGCTACCCCCCTAGTAGCCCTCTCTAACATTTCCGGCCAGTAAACGGACTAGTTTAGGAGGCGAAAATCCGGGAGAATGTAGGATATACTTCAGCTGTACTCGCATACGGTATTACCCTCGTCTCCTCGACTTAGAGCCCTCCATTACTTTCGGTCCTCCCTCGGAGCGGCCCCTTAGCGTAGCGACCATATAAAATAAGGAGTAAATTTAGGGTAGTTTATTACCTAATTACTATAAAGACGGAGTAACGGTAGTATCATCGGCGCCTAGGAAACTCCGTACAGCTAACTCCTATAGATACTCTAGACTTAAATTGTCTATACTCTATAGAACTCCCTATATACTTACAGTTGATTTCCAGCCTTTAATAAAGAACCTAATATCTCGAGAGGGCCTTTAGGTAGAATAAAGGTCCTCGCCATTTTCGAAGGGTTAGATTTACCCTATATAACGTAAGCGGTAAGTCTTATAGTGCTTAACGTTCGTCCGGAGGAGTCTAGTAGATAAGTACTACCTATAGTATTACTAGGCGGTAATAAATACCACCCTAGGCTATATCCTAAGAAGCTAGATCTCTTCTAGGAGTGATATTCAGTTATGTTACTATCATTATCCTACGGATTCGCTAAAGGATCGCAACCCTAGCTACGAGAGCCTTTAAGGTAGTTTACCTTGCAGTACGCTAATAAGTGGAGTTTCACTGAATAAGCGAACACGGAATAAATTTAAGGTATAAAAGGATGCTCTAGTTCCCGACCTCTCTACATTCTCTTCTTTCTCCTCATCTTTCTCCTCATCCTCATCCTCCTCTTCTTACTTTTACTAGAACACCCCTTATTCGCTCCTCTATAAAGGTTAACTATATTATATATATTGTGGTAAAGACTGACTAAGAACGGAAGTATAATGGAATCTAACATCCTACGCGCCGGGCGCGGTAGTACGTATAATGTGTAACGGTTGAAGAGTGTACGTATTAGCTAATCTCACATCTCTACAGGAATCGAGATTGAAGAAAGCGACTACGAGAGACCTCCTACTAGGGACATTACGCGGGGGCCATATATGATGGTCCTTACTAGAGACAGCGATGATGAGGTAGGCGCATTATATGATCACTATCTACCTATAATCTATATAATAACTAGCTGATACTAAGGTTTAGGAGTACGAGGCGCCGTCTAACCTACCCGCGGGTAAAAGTTTTAGAGAAATGCCCATAACGTTACCTATTGAACTAACCACCTCGAAACGTTTACCGTAGAAAAAGATATTACGGTACTCGCTACTTAATCGCCGTCACGAGAAGGACTATAGACCTGATGACGGTATTCGACCTAATAGCTATATTAACTTCCTAGTTAAGCGAGTGATATCAGCCTCACCTACTGAAGAAGTAGACGATGGCCCTAATCCCAGTAAGCCGTAGGCATCTAGATCGATCGATAATAGGTAGCATAATGACGGAGAAGGGGAGAAGGGCTAAGAGAGTAAGGCCGGATTTAATAATGAAGGTAATATTCGACTATAAAACGTTAAGCCTAGACTTCTTTAATTCTTAGATATGTTTTCGGTTCGAGTCGTTAAGAGTACACTATACTCGATCACCGGAGTAAAGTATATCTTCGAGCTGTAGATAAAGTAGGTCTCTTCCGAATCCATTATTAAGGTAGTCGGCTACGACACCTTTAAGAAGTCCGTACTAGAAGCTACGCGCCATTCGACACTAAGAGGAAGGAAAAGAAAGCGGGAGAGCTACTAATTAAAGTGAATACGAAGGAGTATACTATATATTTAGACATTCATTAGGTACTAGCGACATTATGGATTAACCTAAGGATCATTTTAGATGTTAAGTTACTCTAAGAAGTCTAATATATTACTAATTCGCAGCCCATCTAATAGCGATGTAATAAAAGCCATAAGTATAATACTCTAACGGTATGATACTGTTTAAATCTTAATACTTTTTAGCCTATCTCTATTAGGGCTCTAATCGATCTAGACGCCTTCGTGAAGTGTTCTATACTCGTCCTTATCCTCGTTATATTTCTTCATTCCCTTAATATTCGTACTTAACACCCCTAACGCTTTAGCCGCCCTTACGACACCTATTACATTAATAAGCTCCTCCCTTAAAGGAGTGGTAGATCTTAGGCTTACGTCGGTATACGTTAGGGGCCTTATCATCTAGGTTAAAATACGGGTAAACGTCTTTTCCTATTTCCGTAAAGCCATAAAGGATAACTACGTCGGAACTACCCTCTCGTATACTAAGGATCCTATAGTGATCACCATCTCTTTAACTGAGAACTCGTTAGACTGCAACCTATTGTCTATGAGTCGCCAACGCGTAGTCCTAGTCGTCGCTGTTATCACCGAAAATATCCATGAAGATTGGCTTCGACTGAATAATCAGCTACCCTGCACCCGCCTGTCGCTTCATTAGCAATGCCTACGCTTCTACTACTTTACAGCGCTGGTCGACCCCGTCCCCGGTCTCGTTCGCTCTAATACTAACTAGACGGTTTTAGAGAACAGTCTGCGTTTCCCGGTCGACCTATTTAAGGTTTTCACTGGTCTTTATTATGTTAATGGGGTAAGGGAGAGAGCAAACTTCTGTTGCTACTAATTAAAGTATGTTTTGATATTTTATTGCTTAGATTGTCTTTGATATCAGCCGCAATGGAGCCTCTGTCATTTATACCTAGAACTCGAGAGCCTAAAAGAAGTCACTATTTATTTCGTAAAGTCCCATTTTTAGGACCATCCAGGACCACGACTCATCCTGACTATGCTTACCATATCAGGCGAGTACATAATTGACCGTACGAAATTTAGGTCTAGCACCGACTTCTCCACAATTTTACTAGGCACTATCCCTTTTAAATCCAATCGCACATGATAATCCACATCCCGCCGTAACGAAAAACCCTCCGTGGTGAAACAAGCACCAGGTACTTCGAACGATATCACAGTCGTCTCGCGACATAAAGCCGTCATCAGTCAGTCAACGTCATTTTTGTAATCTAAGAGTATCTTCCGATCACCATCACCAATATCGCTCATTAATACCCGCATTTGGTTTCTTGAAGCCACGATTTGGACAGCGAATCGAAATCGACCGAAAACACGGTTCTTCGGTTCAGGGTGCCATTTCCTATTCAGTTTTAATTTGGAAAAAATAGGCATAGAATATTGATATCCCTCTCTCCTGACACAAATTATCTCATGGTTATCTGTCTTTATTCGTCGTCGGCGCCGCTGCTTGCAGCTCCTGGAGACCCTTATCTGGTACATCCACTCAGATCGACAAACACCCGAGGACCGACCGAGTACGGTGCCACGTATATGACCAGTAACGTATCAGCCACACTACGCCACGCGCCACAAAAATGGTGGCTCAGAATACTTGCCGCCTCAACGGCCACTCTAGCACCGCCGCATCGCGACTTCCTTCTCTACTGCAGCGCCTTGCAGCTGAACCGCTCGAATTAGTGGAAAGTGTCTGCTGCTATGGCAGCCTCGAGCTGCGCCGATGTTCAATCTCGATTTCGATCTCTTCTTACTTGGCGCTCAGCGATGCGTACTCTATGCTCCTGAGATGCCCTTGCATCGCTCGCTATCGATTTCATCGCGTCTAAATCTTTCTAGTCTCCAGCGGATCAGTATAAAGTATGTTCCACTCATCCCAGCCTCACGTCGGTACTTCGACCATCCATGGTCTCGGCGTTGACGCCTCCGCCATCTAGACACCTTACGAATCAAGGAACCTTACTCTAGGGAATCTGTCCTTCAGCACACCCCCAGTGCTTCCATAATGACCCTTCACTATTATACCGGCGTCGCGATTTGACAGTCGAGTGCGGAAGGCGCCGATCATTCGAAGAGGATATTAGTAGGCCTCATGGAAGAGAGAGAGGGATTACACGTGTAGAAGCATAGCGAAACAGAGGCTGAAGAAAACATTAATTTTAGATTCGAAGCTGTACGTGTTTGAAGTATTTTTGCCAGTCATCAAGGATCTAGGCCCTTTTATTACTCTCCTCTACCTCCCATCTCGCAAGTACGCTAGAAGAGGAGACATAGAAGGGATGATTAAGGCCCAGAACTGGTTGCCCACGCCGAACACACTCCCTCATGAGGTTTACAGCGTCTGAACGCCGGCCTTGTCCTTTCCAGGTGAAAGCAAGATTGTTCATGCTAGTCAGCGTGTCTGGATGGTCGGCGCCCAGCTTCGTCTTGCGAGTCTCTATCACTTGCACCTCCAGCTGCTCGGCCGCCTCCCACCGGCCTTGTCCTTTCCAGGTGAAAGCAAGATTGTTCATGCTAGTC